GAAGACACTGATGTGCTGTAAGAACCTATAGGAGACTTGTAAACTGGACTTGGAAAGGCTTGTAGCAAGAGGATTAAAACTGTAAGAGGGGATATTCAGGTATTAGGAGGAAATTCTTCACTGTGAGGGTGGTGAGACCCTGGCCCAGGTTGCCCAGGGAAGCTGTGGCTGCCCCATCCCTGGCAGTGTTGAAGGGCAGGTTGGATGGGGCTTGGAGCAGCCTGGTCTGGTGGGAGGTGTCCCTGCCCATGGCAGGGGGTTGGATCTAGATGATCTTTAAGGTCCCTTCCCACCCAAACCAGTCTGGGATTCTGTGGTTCAGGGGTCTTGATGTCTCATCTGTGAACTCCCCTCCAGCAATGCAGAATTAGTCTGATATGTGTCCATGGAAACCTGCCCAAGCCCATTCCCAAAGCAGGGCCAGTGCCACAGCTGTGGCAGGTCCCAGTAGAGCATGTCTGGGTGAACTGGGGCATCTGCAGGGATTGGGATCCCCCCAGCATCAGGCCCCATCTGCTGGCACCAGGATGGGCTGTGTCCCCAGGGATGGGCTGTGTGTTGCATCCAACACCCTACGTCAGAGCCAGAGAAAGGAAACAGTCCCTTCCGTGGACACTGAGGGCAGCAATGGTCTCCACAGCCAAGGGGCTCTGATGCTGGCAGCTGCTACCCTTGGCCCTTACACCATGATTTTCAGAGCTGCTCTGTTCCCTGTGATCATGTTTCTCACCCTGCAGGGAAGCTGAGAAGACCAAGCTGCTGATTGCAGCCCAGAAGCAGAAGGTAGTCGAGAAGGAGGCAGAGACAGACCGGAAGAAAGCGCTCATTGGTGCGTTGCCAGTTGGGGTACTGGGAGATGGGGGCCAGGCTGAATTTCCATTCCTACATCCTCCTGACACCTGGGGTAGGACCTTGTCTTGCATCACTGGCAGCTCCCTGCAGGAGGCATGGCCAGGCTGCACCAGCAGTCATTTGGGAAACGTGAGTGTTTGTGCTGCCCTGTCTGTGTCCCACCTCCCTGCCCATGGCAGCAGAGCAGCCAACACCTCTGTCCTACAGCAGGCCAAGAGGTGACAGCTCTGCCAGTGGAACTGCTTGGGCCTGAAGTCCCCTTGTGTCAGGGGGACTCATGCTTGTAAAGGGACATCAGGTAGTGCAGCTGTGGAAACATCAGCACTGTGTTTTACTTCTGTAACTGTTGCTTGGAGCAGAACCTGGCACGGCAGGAGCTGAGCTGAAGGGGAGGCAGCAGAGAGCCAGTGACTAGGGTGGCAGGTCCTGCCACCAGTGTGCTGGGGTCAGGGTGTTGCTGCTCAAGCCCTGAGAAGATGTCTGAGCTGAGCCTGTTGTGATTGCAGAGGCAGAGAAGGCTGCTCAGGTGGCCAGGATTCACTATCAACAGAAGATTATGGAGAAGGAAACAGAGAAGCGCATTTCTGAGATCGAAGGTAACTGCTGCTGGGGTCATCTTCCAGCTAAGGGTGGTGGCAGGGGAAGGATCCTTGGAGCTGGAACAGAGGGTGCAGTAATGCAAGGTTGTGCACTGAGGTCATTCCTCGCTTGTGCAAGTCCCTCTCTCAGAAGCCACCAGTGGAGTTACACAGCCAGGCTGTGTCACTAGCATGTCTGGGTTAGCTCCTCCACATGGGACAAATGCTCTGGTGCTCGTCCTGCGGCTGTTGACTTGCTAAAGCTTCTTGAATTGTTTAGTTTGGATAAGAGGAGGCCAAGGGGAGACCTCATTGCTCTCTACAACTCCCTGAAAGGAGATTGCAGGGAGGTGGGAGTTTGGCTCTTCTCCCAAGTGAATAATGACAGGACCAGAGGAAATGGCCTGAAGTTGCACCAGGGGAGGTTCAAACTGGATATTAGGAAGAATTTCTTTACCCAAAGAGTGGTTGGACACTGGAAGGGGCTGCCCAGGGAGGTGGTGGAGTCACCATCCCTGGAGGGATTCAAGAAACATGTAGAGGTGGCACTTCAGGACATGCTCTAGTGGGCATGGAGGTTTTCAGCATTGACGGTTGGACTCAACCGTGATCTTAGAGCTCTTTTCCCACTATGATAATTCTGTAATTCGCTGTGATTATTTTCCTCTCTGCACTGTTTTGGGGTTAGATGCTGCATTCCTAGCAAGAGAGAAAGCAAAAGCTGATGCAGAGTTCTACACTGCTCGGAAGCTGGCTGACTCCAACAAGGTGAGCACTTGAAAGGTGGTCAGAAGAGGACTTGCTTGCTCTCCTCTGCACAGGAGGCTGAGCTCAAATGGGCAGCACTGGAAAACCAGTGGATTGAGCAGCTCATATCCCAGCTAGCAGCTGCCCAAGATGAAATCTAATGTTTACAGATATCTGAAGGCTGGGTGTCAAGAATGGGCCAGTCTCTTCTCAGTGGTGCCCTGTGATAGGACGAGGGACAATGGACACTAACTGGATGGAACACTGGAAGTTCCACCTCAACATGAGGAAAAACTTCTTTATTGTGAGGGTGACAGAACCCTGGGACAGGCTGCCCTGAGAGGTTGTGGAGGCTCCTTCTCTGGGGACTTTCAAGACCCATCTGGACACATTTCTGTGTGATCTACCCCAGGTGATCCTGCTCTGGCAGGGGGGTTGGACTCAGTGATCACCAGAAGTCACTTCAATTCTATGAATCTATGATGTGGGGGCCAGAAGGTTTTACAATGTCTGGTTTCTCTTTTTGTAGCTGAAACTGACCCCTGAGTATCTGGAACTCATGAAATACCAGGCAATATCCGCCAACAGCAAGCTGTATTTTGGGGACCGCATCCCTAACATGTTTCTGGATTCCTGTGCTTTCCAGCATGCCAATCCGAGGACTGCCCAAGAAACCAGCCTTCCCTCACCGGAAGCCCCAGAGACCTCTAGAGAAAACCACCTCAGAGCAAAAGAAAGCACTGGCTGAGGGAGGTGGAAAGCTAGCCAGTGTAGCTTGACAGCTAGCTCAGCTGTGAACAGGGATATGTTGCCCTGGGCTGGTAGGGCAGATGCAGCATGGACATCTTGTGTATAGTTGGCAGTTGGGTTGATTTTCTTCTAGCAACATGTTGCAAGTTCTCTGCCTCTTCCATTTCTTCCCCTATTAAATTGGTGCTTCCAAATGAGGGATAATCCTGTACTAACACACGTATACTGGAATATTAAAAGACAGACACCAGGAAAGCCTTCTGCAGTAGGTGCAATTATTTAGCAAGCATTACTCTGGAGGTAGGAGATGTGGCTTTGAGGGCTGTGCTGCTGCGTTCTCATCATTCCCTAGAGCTCCTGGCTGAGCTTGAGCCAAGAGGTTTCCTTCGTCCTGCTGATGAAGCTTCGCCTTGGTGGACTCAGGCAGGTTTCTACTGGCGCTTCTCTAACTCTCCTCAAGGACTCCAGTGGAGTGGGCTCTCCTTGGCCAGTGGAGGCTGCGTGTTCCTGCTCTGAGCAAGGCCTGGCCACGGAGTGATTTGCTGTGGAGTAGGTTATTTGAATAGCCATAATCGTCTTTCCTGTAAGCAGTGGCACTAGGTAACAACTCAGAGCAAGCAACCTCTAAATGACTTCTCTAACTTCCCCTCTTCAAGCAAGAGCCTTGTGCTGGCCACATGTGACTGACTGGAACATGTTTCAGGTGGGTGGCTGGGTCTCATCTGCCACCCTGCGTCAGATCCCAGAGTGCATGGAGCACCTCCAAGCAGCTAGTTGGGAACGGAGCTGGGAAACCTTCTCTCAGTGCCCAGCTTCCGTGTAGGTCTTTCCACCAGGGAAAAGGGTCTGAATTTCCACTACTCTGCTTGGCTGGCAAAGTGAAGGGCAAGAGCGAAGGGGAAGAGGACTCCACTCGGCAGCAGACCAGACACTTGACATCTTGGCTGCAAAGCAGAGGAGGCCTAGCTGCTCCCTGGTGCAAAATCCATCGCTCCAAGAAGTGGGACCTGCCTCATGAGTCCTTGAACAGCTGTGGTGGTGTCTGTCGCTGGTCCTCTCACCACTGGCCAGGCTTTGTGGCATCACAGGGCTTCTGACTCACGAGCAGTGCTGTCAGGAGGTGCTTTACACCTGCTGGGTGTTGGAATCTGTCCAACCTCTGCTCCCTGGGGACCACTGGAGGGTGAGAGAGAGGTGTGCTCAGGTGGGAGATCTGCCGGTATGACCTGCTTTCCTCTTCTCCTCCACCCTTCTCTTTGCCTGTGAGGACATGCTTGCTTCTAGGACCTGTTGCTTGTTATGTTCTGCCATGATCCCAGATGACAGTGGCTGGGGAAACGACTGGCAAGGGCTTGTGCTGAGACACTGTTCCCCATGTGGCAGAACCATTGTGGTCCAGGGGCGCTCTGGGCACTTGGCCAGTTAGTGCTGGCATTGAGGCCATCTGCAGCAAGGGGTGGAACCCGCTTTAGCTTCTGCCTTGGTGAAGAGCCCAAAACAACAGCTTGAACTTCACCTCTGCTGATTTCTCCAAATGACTTGTGTGGGCTTCAGGCTTCCCAGTGCTGTTCCCTATCCTGCATAGCTTGACTTGGAGGGTGGCAGTTTCTCTCCTCAAAGAAACTTGGTAGCATAGGGTGACCCTCACTGTCTCAGCACCTTCCCAAGCTACCTCTGGTCCCTGGGACAGAGCAGGGATGCATTGGTCCTGCCTCTCCTGCTCACTGCTGGCCAGCTTGGGTAACGCATGGCTGTGGGGCTTAGCAGCTGGTTGGTCTTTCCTCCAATTGTCTGCAAGCTCCCAAGGCCCAATGGGGGCCCTGCTCCAGGTCTTCAATGGCAGGAGCCAGGAACCAGTATCCTGCTCTGACAGGCCAGCTGAAGGTGCTGAGCACCAATCCTGGCTTCCAGGGAGGTCCTGGGTGAGGGTGCATACTTGTGCTCTGAAAATGAGAGGAGGGTATTGCTGCTGCCAGGAGGTTTCTCCAGTTTTAACTGAGCACACCTGGTCACAGGCTTTGTGGCACAACTCTGTGCCTTGCAGATCCGAGGGGAACACTAAGACCAGCTTTTGAATGGAGTAATGTCTTCAGCTACCAAAGGCTAGGGCAAACTGTCCTCTTGGTGAAGAGCAGCTGCTGCTGTTTGAAATGTCTCCTGGAAGTGCTATTTGACGTTGAAGGTCCCCTTTCTCCTGTGGGAAGGGCTTTGAGGAGCCTGATAGTATCTCTGACCCTCTTCCTCCTTAGTGTTGCCTTGCTGCAGCCAATTGGGTTGAGTTTGGGGATGAAGGCAGGCTTTTTAGAACAAAGGCACTCCTGAAAGTACCTAAAGATGTAGACTTGTCCTCCGGTTGTCCTCTCTGGGGTTGGGCACTGCCCACTGCTGGCATCAGCTTGGGTGGACAGGGCATGTTTTGCCAGCCTGGAGAGACAAGAAGTGAGGGGAACCACTAGAAGCAATAACCAGGCAGCTCACAGCTCTCCTGCAGGCATCCGAGGAAGACCCATGTGCAGGGACCAGGAAAGCCTTCCAGGCCACTGCAGGAAAGGCTGCTTCCCTTTGGATCCGAGCTTCCCTGCAGCCATCCAGGTGGCATGGCTTTGCTGTTAGTGGGGAAATGTCATCCTGCTCTGGTTGGGTAGGCAGCAGCCACCTCTTACCCCTGTGGGCTGAGGGACATCTGAGGATGTTCCTGTGGTTCCAAGTCCACAGTAACGTGTGTGATGCTCAGTGCCTTCTGGAGATGCCTCCTCCACCTCTCTGCTTCTTCAGCCACTACATCTGAAGCAGGTGTGCAGGAGGCTTTGCTTCTCCCCAGGGTGGGAGCTGCAGAGCAGGAGCACCAGTGCAGCCAGGAATGTGGCATTGAACTATTTCTTTTCTGCCTGATTCGGGTGACTCAAGGGGTCGGCCACTGGAGTCACACCTTCTTTAAGGAAAGTCGATAGATATGTTCAGGTTTACATGCACAGTGTTAAGTTCTTTTGATAAAGCAGAATAAAACTTATTTTGTTACCATTTCCTTGGTGGCTTTCTCAGTCCTAGGGCTGGTTGCTGTAGGCACATGGAGAGGGGGACACCTACACTTGTCATCCTGCAGAAACACTGCATCTAGTTGTATGTCCCCAGCTGCAGTGGAGGAGCCTCACAGCAGCCTGGGCTCCAAAACACCCCCAGGATGGTGCTGAGCAGCAGCAGCAGCACTTAGGACATGGCTGGAATTCTGCTTTCATCCTCTGATCTTGTGGAGGGACCTGAGCCCGGCTGGTTCTTGGGTCCCCAGAAGAGCTGCCCCGTTGCTCACATGCAGCTGGTGTGGTAGTGTGTCCTGCACAGCCACAGCCATGGTGTCCCTGGGCACTGACACTGACTGCAAGCATTGAACATTCGTCCTGGACCAAGGTGCTGGGAGCCCAGCTGGTGGTGGCCAGTCTTTGATCACAGAGCAAGCCCAGGGCCTGTTGCAGCTGGAGCTAGGAGCAACCAGGGTCTCCCTGTGGCATCCTCCAGCCCCTGTGACAGCCTCGTGCCATGTGGCTGGCAAGAAGTGGTGCCGTCTATCCCTGTGGCTCTGGCACAGGGTTTAGGAGCTTTGGGTGGCTCTAGTCCTGCTCCACCCACGCCAGCTCTGCCTTGACATCCCCCTGCCCACTGCCACCCCACTGCCCTCCCACCCCCCTGCCTGAGCTGCCCTTTTCCGCTGAGAGACAGCCCATGACACCACTACCTTCACTCTTTATTGGTATAAAAGCCTTCAACTTAAGTTATATAAAAAAATGGAGAGGGCTCAAAGTGGTCCCAGAAGGGGCATCAGTTAATGGCTGCAGTAAAAAGGCTCCTAGTAAATTCCCTTTCGGGAGAACAGTAACCTCAGTGGTAACTTCAGAGGTCAAAGCCCTGCAGAGACCAAGCCAGGCTTGGACCTGGCAGAAGCCCCCCTGTGTGACTGTCCCCAGCCTGGGTGGTTTCCCCAGGACCTGGTCCCAGCAGTGCAGAACTCCTGCCAAGGCCAGCTTCACAGACCATGCCAGGAGCTCCTCACCACGGCCCCAGCAGGGAAGGGGCAGGAGGAGCAGGACATATTCAGAATGTGGTGCTAGAAGGCAGCAGGAGCACACGGAGGGCCAACTCAGGGCTGCCTCAAAACCAGAGCTGGTATTGTCCCTGGTCCTGGTCTCAAGAAGCCCCAGGTGATGGCTTTCTCTGGGCCAGCTGCGAGGCTACAAAGTCTGCTAAGGCACAACTGAAGTATCTGTAAACACACGTGTGTCCCCCCATCAGGGGAGGGTCTGGTGGGCAATCCAAGCAAGGGTGTAAATGAGCTGGTGGCTCCCCAGCAATGCCACCCTAGTGCCACAGCCACCAAGTTGACTGCCACAGTGGATGGAATACTCTTGGTCACCTCCGGGCCGGGGGTGGCTTCAGGGTCGCCTTCAGGGGGACACCCTGCTGCAAGACTGAGGGACGTGCTGGTGGCAGCTGATGGAGGTCTGGTCCTGGTGGCTTCTTACCATGGGACAGGGCCTTGCTCTTCAGTGCTGGGAGAGGCTTGCTAGGTGGCTTTGGCTTCACCTGGTAGGAGGAGAGAGTGACCAGAGTCCCTCATCTGGGTGCCAGAGAGGGACACAGAGGGGGACACAGGGCAGAGGAAGGGCCTCCTCCTCCAAAGTCATCAGCTGCCTGGGCCACCCCATGGATGCACCCCACACATCTTGGGCTGGTCAGGCCAGGGGAGGGTAGGGGGGATGTCTGAGAGCTTCTCAGATGGTGGGAAGGACAGGCCACCTCACCACGAGGCAGCAGTGGCTTTTAGAAGGGTGGTTACCTGCAACTGCCCTCCTGGAGGGGCTGGAGTTGGCACCTGGGGGACTGGTGCTGGTGGCTGCAGGGTCAAGAAGACATGGGGTGAGCCCACTCCACACCCCACCAAGGCTGCCCCATGCTAGGCCCTGTGCAGCCCCCACACCCTACCTGTGGGGCAGGGCAGCAGGGCTGCAGGGGCTG